GGGGGGGGGGGTTAATTCTTAAATTTTAAAAATTAAGAAATTTAGGAGTTTGGTAATTTGGAGATTTGAAAGTTTAGAGACTTGGAACTTTAGAAATTTGATAGCTCAGAAATTCGAAAATTTAAGAATTTGCAAATTTAGGAAGTTGGACATACAAGAATTTAAGGATTAAGTTATTTTGAAATTTAGAGATTTAAACCTTCAGAAACTTGAAAGTTCATAAATCTAAAAACGTCTACCTCTAAAAAATGATAAATCCTAGGAATCTCAGTACAATTTCAGAACTCAGAAAATTTAATGAAAAACCTTCCTTGCAAAACGTCAAATGGAAGTACAAAAGGGCTTGCAGGATGAAAGGAGCCCTTAAACAATCGCCCCGGGGTTGACGAACAAAGTTTCACAAAAGTTGGCGGAACCAGAAGATTTTGTAGTACGTGTACAATGAAATCGAGGAAAGACGAGAAGGCGAGGGGAGATCGAGCGAAGACGATCGCGATGATTAATGTACAAGACGGGTCTGTATAATTACTTAATTAAATTCATGCATCACGCTGGTATTATGGGACGCACGTTGCGATTCGGCCCTTTGTAACGACCCTTTTGATGCGATGCTTTCATCTCGATAACATCTCGAGGCCCCTTCGAAACGGTTACTACCGCTTCACTTCTGACTCATTGATATTGGCCCGTGTTCCTAATAGACGAGCATATCAATAACTGATATCGTGGTTCCAGGGTACACGTAATTGTCTCGTATTATCCGGCTGAGTTATCCGAGTTATCTGCCTAATGAGAAACGCTGGTTATCTGACGTTTGAAGTAGATAGTTCGGATATGAAATGTGGATAGAGAAGCTTAGCATGATAATTTTAATACCACACAATTTTCGACGCTGTATCAGGAATATGTAAGTCACAAAAGTTTCTAACACAATCAAAATACATATGTATGACTTCTTTGTTATTTGAACAATATGAATTTTCAAGTTTTATCCCCTTTAGGTACTTAGTGCTTTATGATGTCTTTTCATAGTTACTCCTATGCACATGATGGTCTACATATGACTTCTTCTTTAATTATAAAACTTTCAATGAAAGCTTTTAATAATATAAAAGATTCACTCGAGTCTGAAATACTTTGTGAGCATCTAAAATTAATCATTTACGTAATAAATTACGATTACACGGATTTCTCAACATTCTCATGAAATTCGCTTACCAAGTACAACCGTTTCAATTTGCGGAATTACGTTGCAAGCAAGCGAAACACTTCAGAGTGTCATCATGTTCTTTGTTCTCGTTTCCGTGACGTTTCCGTGGGAAAACAGAGAAAAGAGTGATTCCAAGGGAAGGACCGTGTCCCGTCCAAGAGAACTAATTTCATAGTTTTAAGGGCCACTGGAATTGAGCCGGTTCGGGTCATCGCTAATTGGGTACTGTACTGGCTAGATTGCGGTCACCTTGTTAGAGACCTCGTCGCTGTGAAAACGTATCTTCCTACCGTAGAACAAACCTTCCCATTTTCGTATCGTTCTTGTTGCATGCACGTTTGTGTGTACACGGAAACGTATCGCGATGCGTGGGTGGTGGCTGGTGAACGCGCCAACTCGTTACCAACCAACCCTTTATCAGACCGAGAGCTAATTTTCCAACGTGAAACTATCGTTTTCGTTCACCTCTCGGGGCTACTCGTTCGCTAAACTTTTAATTACATTCCCTTCTTTCTGCGACTAAACTGCGCACAACTTTTCTGCAAGACTTCTGCGATATTTGGACCTGCAAAGTTATGGCTCAAGTTTAGATATCCATTCCGAATTATTGTAGTTGTGAGCTCCGATAATTTTTCTCTTTCGAATTGCATTTAGCTTAGTAGCTAAATTTTATTTTTTAAAAAACATTGACCCATCCACGTCCCTAAGGGTACATTTCATTTGACTTCCGTCTGTTTACCAATGAACATTTCGGTTTCCCTCAATTTAAGACCGCGCAACAAATGAAAACAAATTGGCGACGGCAGAAAAAACGTTTCCAGTCGATTGGTAGAAATATCCCGGGAAGCTTTCGAAAGAGATTCCGTTGGCACAAAGAACGAGCGAGAAAGGGGATAACCAAGGGACTTCTGAAAACGGTGATCGCGTTTTTTTAATTAAACCGAAAGTCAGACCATCTCCCCCATGAGTAGAACGGAATCCCTCGGACAATCGAGACGGCCAGTTTAATCACGACGTAATAATGACGGCAAATAAATTAAACTGGACCGTAACGCTGTCCGCTCGAACACGGCCCACCCCGAAGAAAGATCGCGTGGCCGGAAACAAAAGGCCGACAAAACGATTCAATAAACTTCGAGAACACGGAGACCCGATGGCGAGATTAAGTTTACCGAAATCTGGAGATTTAAGACCTCTCGCAATGATTTTTATAAAATACAACAATTTTCTGCTGTGAAATATTGGATCATGGTTACTTGACATACAATATTAATTTTATATTTTATAGAAGGTTTCTTCCAGAATTTTACTGCAATTTGAAATATTGTTGAACTAAAACTTTTTTACACAGTTAATGTTTACATTCACATTTACAATGTCTATTACATTCGCACCTGTATGATAAGTGCGAACATTTGAATTTATCGAATTAGAAGGAAACTGTTTAACAGTGACACGAACATCGCTAAGCAGCATGAGTACAAGCAAGCGTATTTCAGATACGTCAACTGTTATTCTTAGCTAAGCTTCAGCCGGTTCGTTCAAGCTAGATAAACACTTATCGAGACGAAATTGACGACAAAACTAACTGCACCCCCGATCGTAAATCCGTATTATCGTCCGTAACACGGTGCAGTTATAACTTTCACCGGAATTGTAAACAGCCATTCGAGCGAAGGTAAACGCGGTTTATGTTCTCCTCGACAAACGAGGAGGACAGATAGGAAGCAGGAGTTCTTGCGGAATCATTTCGCAAACGGAGCTTAAAGGATTAATTTAACGAGTTCCGAACGAGCTGATTTATGACTGCGTCGGAGAGGTTATCGTTTTAGAATATTAGTACAGCCTTTAAGCACTTTATCCTTTAAGTTTGATTAATTGGTACTTTGCTCTATTTAATCGGAGTGCAACTACGAATTTGTGGTTTTTGAGTTTGCGGTAAAAGTTAATGATGGCTGTAGCTGTAGTCATTTTGTATTATTTTCTAAGTCTAAAATGTAGAAATTTACTAATTCATTCTTTTATCTTAAGATTTGCAAAGTTATATTATATTGTACAAATTTAATATTTGAATCTTGAAGCTCAAAAATTTCAGGGGTGTCTATCACTGCAAGCTACCTATGATCCAACTTATAATTTTGTAAAAAATGAAAAAAGTGTTTTTTTTAATATTTTAACCACGCTAATTATCCACAAAGAGCTATATGTCTAATTTTAAATAAAAATGCTAAGGTCGAAATGATCTTCTAGCAAGAATTATCAACGCAAACGACTCGATTTCCAGTCGTAATTCCGAAGAACCCGATAGGCAAATCAAGAAGACAAACGCGCCTCTCATCCGTGTACATAAACAACAGCCCTAGCAAACAGAACAACTACGGGTATTTAAGCACGAACGTGCGTTTACAAGCTGTGTCGGATATACATGTATACGTTCTATTGATGACGTCGACTAGGCAAATCCCCATAAGTGATGCTCTGTAGATAACGAACTGGAATCCTGTCAGAATCACGGTTTCAATATTCCACGCAGTCTGTGACATAGACCTAACGCTATCGTTTCAAGGGAAAATGTTGCGAGTGATACTTCCGGTGTTGATTTTCGTGGTATGTTTGATATTCTGCTGTACCGCGTGCTCGCCGGATATTGGCCAGTCGTTGGATTTGAAACAGGTAGCGTTTTTAATTTATTTAGATTGGACTGAAACACTTGATATAAATTGCGATGAAGAATGTGTCTATTGGCATCACTGTAACGTGACAAAAGATTAAATTAGAGAATAATTGTATATGTATGAATTTTATCTTTTGAAAGCACATTCAAGGGGTTTTATGTTGTATGGTAAAGATCTGTTTATTTATACAGAAACAGACATTAATTGAGTGTAGGATCTTAGGTGTAGCACGCAAAAATAACAAGTAATAACCAAATGTTAAATAACAAATAATCAGTAAATATCAAATGAAAACTAATCACTAAATGTTAAATAACAATAACCAAATGTTAAATGACAGCCAATAACCAGATATTAAATGATAGCTAATAGCCAAATCTTAAATAACAAGTAATCAGTAAATATCAAATGAAAACTAATCACTAAATGTTAAATAACAATAACCAAATGTTAAATGACAGCCAATAACCAGATATTAAATGACAGCTAATAGCCCAATATTAAATAACAAGTAATCAGTAAATATCAAATGACAAGTAATTAAATATTAAATAACAATAACCAAATGTTAAATGACAGCCAAAAACCGAATATTAAATAATACCTAATAACCAAATATTAAATGACAAGGTATTGAACAACAAGCAACGCGCAAACGACTAAACATAAACACCCAACGATTCAAATTTCCCGCCAGACAGCATATGGAGAGCGCTCGAAAATACGACGTGGATTAGTTAGCTCCGAAAACAATTGCAAGCATCAAATTAATCTGCACGTGTACACACATAGATAGAGGATCGCGTTCACATAATTATCCCGGAGGAGACTCGTTCGTTAGAAGCGTGGCAAATGGAAACGAGCGTCGCAAGCGTTGTCGGTCATGCGATATCCACGAGCATGATTCAACTATGTCGACACACGTAAATTCGGAGGTGCTGGCTCGACGGATCGTGAGCTCGCACGCCAAGCACCGAAGGTTGTCAATATTGGCTCGTTACGCGCAATCGTATACATTAATTTTCAAATTTCGCTGCACAAGCACGATTCTAATTTATGCGCCATATCTGGGATCGGATGTATCACTCTTGCAAAATAGAATGTTGTTATAAGTTACTTGTCTGGTGACAGATAGTTGTGTCTGAAATGCAAGCCTATATATTTTTGTATACTATTGTTAATCTGTTGGATATTATTTTATTATTAACTGGTTTGTCTCCTCTCAGAGGACATTTTGACCCATCACTACTGGTCATATTTAGAGCGTTTTGGTTGCAGATGTTATTTGAAGGAACACACAAATTCTAAATCTCCCAAGTTTCAAATCTCCCAAATTCCAAATTTGCGAAATTCCAAATCTCCCAAGTTCCAAATCTTCCAAATTCCAAATCTTCCAAGTTCCAAATCTCCCAAATTCCAAACCTCCCAAATTTCAAATTCGCCAAATTTCAAATTTGCCAAGTTCCAAATCTCCCAAGTTCCAAATCTCCCAAATCCCAAATCTTCCAAGTTCCAAATCTCCCAAATTCCAAATCTCCAAAATTTTAAATTTGCCAAGTTCCAAATCTCCCAAGTTCCAAATCTCCCAAATTCCAAACCTCCCAAATTTCAAATTCGCCAAATTTCAAATTTGCCAAGTTCCAAATCTCCCAAGTTCCAAATCTCCCAAATTCCAAATCTTCCAAACTCCAAATTCGCCAAATTTCAAATTTGCCAAGTTCCAAATCTCCCAAGTTCCAAATCTCCCAAATTCCAAATCTCTCAAATTTCAAATTTGCCAAGTTCCAAATCTCCCGAGTTCCAAATCTCCCAAATTCCAAATCCCTCAATTCCCAAGTCTCCCAATTCCCAAATCCCCCAATTCCCAACTCCCAAAATAAAAAAAAACATTACCAAATAGCAACGTTTGAAAAGCAAAAGCAATTGTACTTTTGTTATATTTTAATCTAATATTTCTTAAATGGTGTTTATTCTCTAGCAGACTTTCTATCTGACAATGAGTTCTATTATAAATATAATCTCCTCTACCATTATAATTATTTATGTTCTTATTTATTTTCTAAAACGACATACATGTGTGATATATTTTAAATAAAAATTTACGATAAAAATGTATTCTACCGGACCAGAACACAGCAGAATTCGATGATTTGTATCTGTTCCGTTTGAAAATAACTCACTGCTAGTATCGGGTTCTCACATCTGAAATCAATATTCTATTTTTTCATATACGCCGTATTTTTTGCATGGTTTCCATTTACGGGTTTGTTCGAAACTAACGTACCATTTGAATGGAAACTTGGTTATTCTAGAATGATGGACAGAAAAACAAGTAAAGACTTTAAAATTTCATATCAGTTTGCAGGAGAATGGTTTTTTGCGGCTGGGACCCCGATCAACGAGAGTTTAAGTAGATGCGGAAGGTTCCTGGTTAGACAAACATCCTATACTACCTTCTCGATAAAATACACTGCCGTTAGTTACAAAAATAATATTCCGATAAGTTTCAACGTCGATGGAAGTGTCGAGGGAAATAAGATCGTTGGAACTTGGCAGTTGCAGGGATCTAAGAGGATACTTGGCAAGTTATTTTAACTTTTTTTTACATAAAGTAATATTGTGGGTGATAAGTGGTTTTCAAGATATTTTGACTTATGGTAAAGTTGATCGTTTTGAGGATATGTTAAGGTGATTTTTGATGATTTATATTTACTAAGGTGGAAATTTTTGGAATTGCAAGATTTGGGAATTGAAGTTTCTAAAATTCAAAATTTTCCAAATTCCAAATCAACCAAATTCCAAATCTCCCAAGTTCCAAATCTCCCAAATCCCAAATCTCCCAAATCCCAAATCTCCCAAATCCCAAATCTCCCAAATCCCAAATCTCCCAAATCCCAAATCTCCCAAATCCCAAATCTCCCAAATCCCAAATCTCCCAAATCCCAAATCTCCCAAATCCCAAATCTCCCAAATCCCAAATCTCCCAAATCCCAAATCTCCCAAATCCCAAATCTCCCAAATCCCAAATCTCCCAAATCCCAAATCTCCCAAATCCCAAATCTCCCAAATCCCAAATCTCCCAAATCCCAAATCTCCCAAATCCCAAATCTCCCAAATCCCAAATCTCCCAAATCCCAAATCTCCCAAATCCCAAATCTCCCAAATCCCAAATCTCCCAAATCCCAAATCTCCCAAATCCCAAATCTCCCAAATCCCAAATCTCCCAAATCCCAAATCTCCCAAATCCCAAATCTCCCAAATCCCAAATCTCCCAAATCCCAAATCTCCCAAATCCCAAATCTCCCAAATCCCAAATCTCCCAAATCCCAAATCTCCCAAATCCCAAATCTCCCAAATCCCAAATCTCCCAAATCCCAAATCTCCCAAATCCCAAATCTCCCAAATCCCAAATCTCCCAAATCCCAAATCTCCCAAATCCCAAATCTCCCAAATCCCAAATCTCCCAAATCCCAAATCTCCCAAATCCCAAATCTCCCAAATCCCAAATCTCCCAAATCCCAAATCTCCCAAATCCCAAATCTCCCAAATCCCAAATCTCCCAAATCCCAAATCTCCCAAATCCCAAATCTCCCAAATCCCAAATCTCCCAAATCCCAAATCTCCCAAATCCCAAATCTCCCAAATCCCAAATCTCCCAAATCCCAAATCTCCCAAATCCCAAATCTCCCAAATCCCAAATCTCCCAAATCCCAAATCTCCCAAATCCCAAATCTCCCAAATCCCAAATCTCCCAAATCCCAAATCTCCCAAATCCCAAATCTCCCAAATCCCAAATCTCCCAAATCCCAAATCTCCCAAATCCCAAATCTCCCAAATCCCAAATCTCCCAAATCCCAAATCTCCCAAATCCCAAATCTCCCAAATCCCAAATCTCCCAAATCCCAAATCTCCCAAATCCCAAATCTCCCAAATCCCAAATCTCCCAAATCCCAAATCTCCCAAATCCCAAATCTCCCAAATCCCAAATCTCCCAAATCCCAAATCTCCCAAATCCCAAATCTCCCAAATCCCAAATCTCCCAAATCCCAAATCTCCCAAATCCCAAATCTCCCAAATCCCAAATCTCCCAAATCCCAAATCTCCCAAATCCCAAATCTCCCAAATCCCAAATCTCCCAAATCCCAAATCTCCCAAATCCCAAATCTCCCAAATCCCAAATCTCCCAAATCCCAAATCTCCCAAATCCCAAATCTCCCAAATCCCAAATCTCCCAAATCCCAAATCTCCCAAATCCCAAATCTCCCAAATCCCAAATCTCCCAAATTTCCAACTTTCCTCACAACCCCAGAAACCTCCACAAATTTCCAAGAAACCCTCCTCAACAAACTTCACCGCAAAACTCGAACAGATCAATATTTCCGCCTGATCAAAATTGCGCATCCTGCATGCGACAAAAAGTGTTCGGATCAAAGTTGGTTTCATAACGCGTAACGATAAACCGATCGACGTGCACCCCATCGACGAAAGTTTCCGATGACGAGGAAACGGCAAGTTTACTAAGTTGGAAATTTTATATTCCCAGGACCGTTCCGCCACGTTATATTGTACGCAAAGTACAAAAGCGTTGTTGGCATGCTAGTCTGTTCGGAGAATGGCTCGTCTCACCAGCAACGGTACAAGTTCTCTATGATTTGGTCCCGAGAGAGAAGTCTGCCTTTGCCGGTCCTGAAGGAGCTCAAGTCCAAACTGGGAGTATACATTAATCAAGGGGAAATTCGGATGGTGGATCATGGGAACTGTTAAACAAACCATAAACTTCCACGCTAGATCTTGCCGTGACGCCCATAATTCACTTTCAATTAATTGTCGCAGATAGAATTACACGCTGTATTAACAGATTTACTGTTCGCAACTTAGACGGGTTAATTTTGTGAATATACAGTGGGATATGAAAATATTTTTACCATTCTTTGACTTCTTACTTCTTTTGCAACGAATATGAAATCGTGACAGGTGTCAGATAATTTTATTTTCATATGTGAAAATTTTTAAGATATTCAACCGTTTCTTTGTTGGACAAGTTTTCATATGTTCAACAAAATTGTTTATAAATTATAAACGTAAAGCTTGTAACTTAAAGTGGTTTCCAATGAAATAAATAACAGACCTTGTAGACCTGTAACAATGTATGACAATAACAACATATGTCTTCTACTTTTAAGACACAATACTCAAAGTAACAACGAACGACAAGTAATATTTAAAAAATAAGTATGATGATTTGAGGAGTACAAAATAAATTTACAAGTTATGTACATGGTTTGATACAGTTTTGGAGATATCTCAGAGAAATACAGGCATGGTAATGCTCGAAGTGTAATTGTGGAGCATAAGGACCACTCTCGTAGAATAAATCATTCAAGGAGGGTAACGTAGAACTGTATTCGTTCATCTCATAAAATATTCGGCTAACAACCAACTGTTCCAAGAGCATCAACACCTGCGGTCGGTATGTATCTTGAAACACTTGGCCATACTACTGCCTGTATAACCATTTCCTTTAAGGAATTGCTCTTGAATTTGTTACAAACGATGGCCTTTATAGGAAAACGATCCTTCGTCTACGAAAAATATATTCTAGTCGATATTGGATAATATAATTGGCATTCATGGATTATTTAATTTAGAGATAATTAAATTAGTTATGATTTGAGTATCAATTTCTTTAAAAAAATTTTAGCGAAATTTTTGCTGCAGATTTTTAAATTATTGATCTTCATTTTGTGAGTTGCATATTTTCTCTTTTTAATATTTTTATATTTTATCATTTCAATATTTGATGTCTATGAAATTCATATTAAATTTTCTACACAATTATTGTTCATATTATTACTTTATATTTTATAAAAAATTATTTTATATTATATCATAACAAACATGATATTCATTCTCCTTAAAAATTTAATGGCTAACATTTACCCCAATACTTAAAAATACACCTCTTCATAAAGAGATTTAACAAAATTCCTTTTGACGAAATAATCACCACATACACACTTGATAACCCGATGATGATCAATTCCATGCCCCTAAATTGCAACGACCAAATTGTTTAACTATTTCACAGCTTGCAGCCCTTCTGCCTTCTGCAGATTTTCAGCACAAAACCCCCTATAAATCTCGCGTATCACAATGACCAGGTCGGTAATAAATATTGCACACAAACACCTAATGGGGAAGGTCGTTTCGGTGCGGAGTTCGATGATATTGTTTATGGAGACTACGTACGGGAACGCGATATAATGGAAATTCCGGCGTCCGGCAGACTATTTATGGGACACCGTCATGTGGTACCCATTGCCGTACACGTCGAATCCCCATGGCTTTCCATGGTATATAGGCCACGTGACCATCCCACAGGGACAGCTACTGTGCGATGTTTCTCCCTTCCTCTGCTGTTTTATAACGTTTTCCCTTCATCTTGCCCCCCTTTGTAAAATAATTACGAGACCTTAGATCGCTTGATGAGAATCTTCAAAATGTATCATTGTTTGCTTTCGCTCTATGGTTTTTTTAATATTAATACCTCATTCAAGAGTAACGCAAGATGTATTGGATAATTAATTTTGTTTGCTAATTATTTTATTTATGAAGACAGTAGAGCGAAACTGTATCTGTTATTATATAATAAAATATCTTCAAATCTATTTTATTTTGTTTTTTCAAACGTGTTCCTTGTTGTTGAGGACAACAAAAAAAAAATAACAGATGGGGTCATTGACTTCAAATTACATATATAGTGTTTGAATAAAATATTTACACATCTTACTAGTACATAATTTAATAACTGAAACAAACAGGTTATATAAACTATCTTAAATTTATTCTGTCTATCGTAACTATCTTAAGATTTCCAAAATGGCCACCCAATATTACTACCATTTTATTAATACACTCTATTTTCTCATAAGGTAAAATAATTTAAAATATATTAGTTACTGTTCAACGAAGATAATTAACCTCAATACCTCACTCAAACAAAAGTTCATTGACATCATATCAAAACACCCAACATGGCTACCATTTTATTCATTCATTCTACTTTCTCATTTATAGAATAAAATAATTTAAAAAATATTAGTTACTGTTCAACGGAGATAATTAACCTCAGAACCTCACTCAAACAAAAGTTCATTGACATCCTATCAAAACACGTCTCTACAACCTGTCAAGTACAGAACTCGATGAAAATAGCCTGCCTGCTTCCCTTGAAAAAGACAACATTTTGTAATTAAGTCGATTGTAAAGCTTCCTTGTAAATCATTCAATGTGACGTCATTGCACCATTCACTATGCTATTACTAGGGTGGCATACCACCCCATACGACGTAGGTAACCGCACCTATATGTGCTGTTGAGATATATGTATATATAGGCCACGTGACCGCACCACGGGGACACCCATTAAACCGACCCTACGGATCATGATGTCCCATGAACATCACTTGAGGGACCCACGATTGTCTCGTTCACAAAAGAGACACAGGTGGCAACGATTACTGGGTTTTTAAGGGGTGTTAGCAATGTTTAACCGATTCGAGATAATGTTGAATATTGATTAACATGGTGACTGATTTAGAGGGGTCTGACACCGTCAACTTCACCCTTAAATTACCAAATCTGAATTTATCAAGCATTCTGTCTTTTTCAAGCATTTTGCAAATCTTGACTCTTTTCTACATCTACGTTTTTCTACGTCTAGGTTTATACTTCCACAAAATTCTCCCCCTAAATTTTTGTAAAATAAATTTCCCTTCCCTAATTTGCATACCATTCCCTTTTACAGAAATGTCTGAATTTATATTTGTAACAAGTCAAGTATTATCTCCGACTTGTACGTTAATTATTATTTCGCTGTGGCGGATCTAAAGTAACGTTAATTACGTCGCGTTTCGTTACCAGAGTTTGCTGCCGTGCCAGGAACGTTACAAACGCTCGGCAGGAATGAACGTAAAAGAGCGACTATGCGACATAACGAGTGGAAACACGCGTTAAAAGTTCCATCGCGCTCGGTAAAAGATGATCATACTGCGCCTCGCTAGCACCACATTCACTTACATATGCAGCGAGCAGACAAAGATGAGTAAACGTGTCGAGGTCAGGTCGGAACGAGCCGAAAACATTTTCCGCTTCGATGCTCTGTCGTCTCCAGAAGTTGTAAACAGCGTAAAAACTCCTCCACGTGTGTGTCTGCGTGGAAAAATTGTTGATTCTATTTTGATGATACGTTGGTGACATCCTTATTTACGAAGTTATCAAAATTGCATCATTAATTGCATTTCGTTGTTAACATTCTTACCCTCCCGTTAAAGGACATTTCGCAATATGCGAATACCGATAAAAGATAATTATAAATTGTGGAATGTCAAAGGTCTGAACCCGACGTAAATACTTGGTATACCGCTCGTTTCCTCGGGGAATATTCATAATTAAATTTTACACATTGTGCTTCTAAATTTTACACATTGTGCTGAACGCTATTTTTGTCTACCATTTATATTAATCTTCTATATTCATCTCTCTTGAATTTCCACGAAAATAGATCAAAGGATCAGAAGAAAAATGGAGATTAAATTTGTGAAAGACCTTAGTGAAATTGGGTGAACTCTTTCTTGCGCCCTCTTTGACGGGCGTCGATAATCTTGTCGAAGAAGGATCTTAGAGTGTAACTGATTTATACCAGGTATATCTATGTGATACATAAACGTTATGTACTATTTACTGGCCCTCCGAAGGGCTCCACTGCCGCTCGAATCTTGGAAAGCTTCTGCGGATTAGCGGTAAATTGACGTTTCTTCTTTTTATTTCTGAGGACTCGTTCTAATTCCTTGCCAATCCAATTTTACAGCTAATGCTTGAATGGGTAATTCGTATTTCCTTTTGTTCAATTTTTTAACATTCTTGCTTAAACTTGAGAGTTAATGGAAGGCATTTTCATTTAAAGATCAATGTATTTGTAGTTTCATAAGTGAAGATAAATATATAAAATCATTTGATGAATCAGGTATTTCAGCCTCAAATTAATTATTGTATTTCTTCAACTTAAAATTACATCGAAAAAAAATGAGAAAACATAAGTTTCTCTTATAAAATAATATATTTACATTTCATCCCTTAAATGTATTTATTTATTCCAATAGCATAAGGACATATATGCATAACATTTACACGTATCTTCCACAAAATCAAATTGTTATAATATTACTCTAAAACACAGTAACAAATATTTTTACAGTTCCATAGTTTGATCTTCCAACCTAACCTAACTTTTCTATCTTAACTCCTCGCAAGACACAGAAAATAAAATGTATACCATAGATGTCATAATTATTTGTTTATTCGCTACAAAGTACCATACAAACACAGAGAACGAATGAAAACAACAAGTTCTAAATTTAGTGTGAAATTGAGTTCTAAACTTGGTGTGCAATTGAGTTACGAGTTAATTATGTCGTAGCCCCAAGAAAGTATTATCGTAATTCAGCAGGATTTTTCAGATAAGTCCGTACGCGAACATCATTACTACCGTGATTTTAGGATTCTATTTTCGCGATCGAAGGGTGATATAGGAGCGTGTACAGAGAAGATAAGGGTGCGCCCACCAATGACGGAATATCGTTCGCTGCAGTTCTCCATCGCTTCCCTTGCTCTTCCCATGGGATTACAGTCCCCTAAGCTACATTTACATATACATCCAAAGTACTGCTCGAACTACCGGCTGCTAAAAGGAAAGAATTCAATAA